GAGATCTGGAGGCCTCCCACACCCGGGTCCCTGTCCTGCCCAGGCCCCCCGAGGAAGGAGGATGGTCCCGTGGGCCCCGCGGCGAGCGGGGTGGGGCCGGGCTTCCGGCGGGCGGCCAATCGCGGGCCGCGGGGCCTCCCAAGGCAGGGCCAGAGGCTGCCCGAGCGTGCAGGAGGCGCCTGGGGCGCACGAGTTGGGGGGCGTGGAAGTTGCCTAGGCACGGCGGGGGATCGGAGGCATAGAGGCTGCCCGAGCGCGCAGGAGGTGCGGGGGGTGCAGGGGTGTAGGAGACAGAGGCTGCCGGAGTGCAGAGCGGGTGCAGGGGACGCAGGAGTGACGGGGGCGTGGAGGCCGCCCGGGAGCGGCGGGGGAGCCTCGGGGACTGGCAGAGGCTGCCGAATTCGGAGGAGGGGCGAGGTGTGGGGCGCAGGGGTGGATCGGAGCGGAAGGGGGGAAAGAGGGGACGCCGGGCCAGGGTAGAGGTAGAGGTCACCCGAAGCTCAGAGAAGGTGAAGGGACGCAGGAGTTCGAGGGGCGTGGAGGCCGCTTGGGCGCGGCGAGGGACCCGGGGATGGGGGCAGAGGCTGCCCGAATTCGGAGGAGGGGCGAGGTGCAGGGGCGGGGGGGCCGGAGAGGAAGGGGATAACCGGGGGGCGCCGGGCCAGGGTGGGGCGGAGGCCTCCCGGAGCGCAGAGGAGGTATGGGGGAGGCAGGAGTTCGGGGGGCGTCGAGGCCTCCTGGGCGCGGCGGGGGACCCGGGGAGGGGGGCAGAGGCTGCCCAAGTGTGGAGGAGGGGCGAGGTGCAGGGGTGGGCGGCGCAGTGGGGGTCGGGAGCGGGAGGGGGAAACCCGGGGGCGCCGAGCCAGGGTGGCGGCTGAGGCCACCCAGAGCGCAGAAGAGGGCAGGGTGCAGCGGGCCCGCAGATGACTCGGGAGCGGGTGGGGAGTTGAGGGGCGCCTGACGGGGGCAGAGGCTGCCCTGGATCCCGGAGGAAGTGCCGGCGCGGTGGGGCCGCTGAGGACACCCGGGTGGGCAAGGGTCTGGTGCCAGAGGCTGTCCGGGAGCGCGGGGGAGATATGGGGCGCGGGGATGATGGGGGCGCAGTGGGGTCTCAGGTGACTCCTGGGAGGGCAGAGGGTCGAGGAGAGGAGGAGGAGGTGCAGGGCGCGGGGTTCGTGTAGGTGGCCAGGGTTCAACAGAGCCCAGGAGACACGGGGCGGGTAGGGGGGCTCTGGGTTGAGGCTGCAACCACGGGTGTCAGGAATGCCAAGCTGTCGCCCTCAGGCCTGGAAATCTTCGCGGGTTCCCTGGAGACGACGCCTCTGCTAGGCCCGGCTGGAGGCCGGAGAGTCCACCCACCGCGCCCAGGCACACGTGGGCCCCTCGCTGCCCACCGCTCGCGCGGAGCCTCGGACCATGTCGGGTGAGTCCGCGAATGCGCCTTGCAGTCAGCCTCCCTGTTCCTGCGGGCACATGGGAGATTAGTCTGCGCCTGGAAAGACCCCCGCTTTGCCCCCCTACCCCCATCTCCCCAAACCCCTCATCTCCCATTGTCTGCCTCCTCAGTGTCTCCCCGAGGGGCGTGGGGGGAGGGGGCTGGCACTGCCCTGTGCAGTTGGAGATGTGGGTGGGTCTCAGCAGCTGGGAGGGGGCCATTTATAGCCTGGTCCGGGGGCGTTAGCAATTTCATCATTCTCCTTCTGTGAAAAGTAGCCCTGGGAGTTGAAATGGGCTTGTTTCTTGGCAATGGTACTGAACTGTGTGAAATTCTCACTGAGAGACCCAGATGGCAAGTTCATGCCCCTAAAACTCTGGGACGACAGTGCCTTTGGGTTCTTCTAGTTTAGATCACCCCTGTAATTTGTTATTCCAGCAAAGATCTGGGGTTCATCCCTCAGCAGGGCAGCAGGCTTGGGATGGCAGTGTGGCTGGGACTTCCAGCAAGGCCTGGTCCCCAAGGGCTCAGATTCGGTCCTGTCTGCCTGCCCTTGGGTTTTGTGGACATCACGTTGGGGCAGTTGACTTCAGAGGCCAAGAAGTATGACATGGAATACCCATGAGAAAGATACCTGTCCTGATGGTATTAAGACACCCCCTCTGTTGCACCAGACTGGACCCGATCATTCGTGAGTGCATTTTTTTTTTTTTTAAACTGGTTAGTTTTTATCCAGAGGAGTGATTTGGTAAATCACTAAGCAGTTTCCATGCTGTTTCCCTCCCATCTAGCCTTAGAAAGGAAATTGTTGGGACAGGGGCCGAAAGGGCGAGTTTCCCCCCAGTGTGCTCTCAGATTCTGCTCCGAGGAGACGCAGAAAGGCTTCTCTGTTCCAGGGAGCGCTTTGGAGGTCTGCGGAGTGAAAACCACGCTCCCCCAAAGCCGCTAGGGCCTGCATAACGGCAGCATTCAACCACGGACATGTGGACACATCTCCATCAGCCCTGGAATGTGCTAGAAGACCCGATGTCGGTATTCAACACTTGGCAGGAAACAAAAACCACCTTTGAGTAAAGGGGAGGGGCAGAGCAGGAAGCCACCAGTGTTATTTCTGGGAGCGTTGGAAGATAGGTTGATGGCAGGACGGGCAAGAATAGAAATAAACATGTCTCGTAGACTCATAAAACTGTCAGCCACCACAGTCTTCAGGCTGAACTCGATTTTGTGAGAATATCTATTTTGGGGGGCTGGAGTAGTGTTTTCCCATTATGTGGTCATGCCAGAAATCCCCACCCCGGCGCCATGTTGAGTGGAATCTCATCCTTTAAATGCAGTGGCCTTGGGTAATGATGGGTGTTCTTTGATGGCACACCAAAACCTGGTCATTGTTAGATTCTTAAAGGTAAGGCCGTGTGAAATGTGAAGACCTATCAGTGAATGTTTCATCCTCTGTTGCTTTAAATTGCATTGGTCTGAGTTTGCACTTTAGATGGAGCATTTATCCAGGCGTGATTTTGCCACATCATGGTGGCCCATATTCAGAGGTGCACGTCTTGGGGTTGCTGGAGAGATGGGCTCATTTCTCCACTGCTGCTGTCTTCATCCTGTTAATATGATCAATAATCCCTTCATCCAATAATCCCTCATCCCTCTGTAATCCGCATTCCACCTTCCCCAAGTCTCAGCCTCCCTGGTCCCCGAGGACCACCCCACTCCACAAACGGCGGTAACTCTCTCTGCTCCCAGGATCTCTCGGCTTCCCCCTGCGCTCGATGTCGGTGTTTCTCACACAGAAGCAGCCAATGCGTCCACACCAAGTGGATCAGAAACATGAAATGGTTGAAAATTTAATTGCTCTGGTCTCTGGTTTTATAACTGTCCAGTGAGGGAAGCCCGTTTTTATCAACCACGTCGAGTCAAAATCCAGCGAATTAGGCATCAGTTTTCTTAGGTACCATGCACGGGTGCGTCTGACCATTGAAAGGATAAATGAGAAGGAAATGATCTGCAGGGTTATGTTTCATGTCTTTGTGTCACCTTCCAGTTAGAAAGAATTGAGTGCTCTTCACGAATATCCAACAACCACAAAAATGAACTCTTCCCATAGCTCGGTTGGGAATAAACTTTTTCTTTGAGGAGGATCCAAATTGCTTAAATGTGAAATATATAGACAATTACAATGATGGAATTGAAGCTCAATGGAAAGAAGTGCTTTTTCAGTCTAAGGGCTGTTGAATGTGAAGTTAACCCTTACGGGTCACCAGGTGTTCGCTATGATTCTTTCCCCGCGGTGGGTACAGCATCCCCGGTTCTGCTTCTTGACTTTAATGCCCCATTGAATTAGGTTCCTAGGGCTGCCATAACAAATACCACAGACTGGGGGCTCAAACAACAGACATTTATTCTCTCCCAGTTCTGGAGGCTGGAATCTGAGATCCAGGTGTGGGCAGGGCTGGTTCCTCCTGAGACCTGTCTCCTTGGCATGTAGATGCCGTCTTCTCCCCGTGTCCTCACGTGGTCGTCCCTCTGTGTGTGTCTGTGTCCTCATCTCCTCTTCTCATAAGGGCACCAGTCACATTGCATTAGGGACCACCCTAATGGTCCTCTTCTCTGGACGGCCAGTAGTCATAAGGTGGTCTGTTCTGGTCCTGGCTTCTCTTGCCACCATGAGCTCTCGGGATGACCCCAGTCTTTGTTCCCATCCAGACCTCTTTCTCGGACATTTCCACCTGGGTGTCTCCTCATCCCTCTAACTCCTCATGGAAGAACTACATTCCTCACTTTTTCTGTCATATTATTTCATTCTCCATATTTCTGTGAACACTGTCTGTGTCCCTAGACACTAAATGCTGCATTGTTTTAACCCAGTTGTTTAAAAAACTAGATAGATAGACAGATAAATAGGTAGTTAGATGGTTGATAGGTAGATGGATAGATAGATAGATAGATAGATAGATATAGATAGATACATATTTACATAGTGGTAGATAGATAGATGACAGATGATAGATTATAGATAGATGATAGGTAATACATCGATTATAGATATATGATAGATAGATGATGGATACATGGATGGTAGATGACAGATAATAGAGAGATGATAGATAGATGATAGATAGATAGATAGATAGAGATAGATACATAGTTACATAGATGGTAGATAGGTAGATAGATGACAGATGATAGATTATAGATCGATAGATGATAGACATAGAAAGACTGATAGATAGATTATAGATAGATAGACAGATAGATGATAGATGATGATAGATAGAGATTAGATGATAGATAGATGATAGCTGGATAGATAAATAGAGATAGATGATAGATGGATGGATGACAGATAGAGGATAGATAGATAGGTAGGTAGATAGATAGATAGATAGATAGATAGATAGATATCTTTTGGGCTGCAGACTTGAGTTCTGAAGTTTGCATCTGTAATACTCCACTTAACAGTGCAGATGCCAGGAATTCCCCTTCCTTCTTACCCGAGAAAAAAAACCCGACAGCCTGTAGACAGGAACCTGTTGCAAGAGGCGCGTTTGGGAATCAACCCCAAAGAATGTAAAGGTCAAGTCATCACCCTCAGGAAAACAGGGCTGGGAAGCCCCGTTTGTCGGGTTATAATTAGTGTGACTGTGAGTCTCTGGGACAGCTGCTGCCCGGGAGGGCGCAAGGACGTGGGGGAGGACAGTCTGGTCTTTGAGAACTGAGGTCTGTGTGTTCCAGCCCCGGGCTGCATGCCCCGACTTTTAATTTCCATAGGCAGCACGGTAGCCTGCACGGGGCACAGATTTCTTTATCCTGTTGTCTTTATCCTGGCAACAAGCTCTTGAGGACCCAAGAAGTAAATTGTTTACAAGTCCCTGTAAAAGTTAATGCCATGGGTATGCCCTTAGACTTAAAATTGCCATAAATTGAGTCTGCTGTTGAGTTTCGTCCTCACCTATTGAGATGTTAGGAAACCAAGAACAGTTTGGTGAATGAAACATTATATTTTCCCCTGTCCCGTTTCCTCAGCCTCGTATATCTTTGAGTTGAAGTCTTTCCAACAACCGGTTTGTGCAGAATTTAATGAACCGGTTTGGTCACTTCTCTGAGCACAGCTCCTTTGAGGTGGGGAGGGCGTTCTCATCCTCACTCGGGGAATACCACTGTCGCTTCCACTTTGTGCTGTGTTTTCAGCTCAGACCCAAATATTTCCAGTGAGTTTTTGAGTCTTGAATGCAAAATAAAATAAGGGGTCTCAATGATGCATATCGGCGGATTTGCAGCATCAGGAAATTTTAATTGCATTCTGGGTGGCTTTCCCTCGTGTTTAGGGTTTGCTTGCACTTTTCCTGTGTGTGTGTGTGTGTTTGTGTGTGCACGTTCAATGAAAGGACGCATGTAAGTGTCACCAAGGAACATTTGTGGAACACCAAATGGTTAGTCGGTACAAGTTGTGAAGCTTGAGAGAGGAAGAGGAGTGACCGCCGGTCGCGCCATCCCATGAGATCCGTCAAGAGCATAACTCTGGTGTTTTGCCCACAGTGTCTGACCAGGCATTTGTCACGCTGGCCACCAATGACATCTACTGCCAGGGGGCCCTGGTCCTGGGGCAGTCACTGAGGAACCAGAGGCTGACCAGGAAGCTGGTGGTGTTGATCACCCCTCACGTGTCCAGCCTGCTCAGGTAAGACTGGGAGACTCACCTGTGTGTGTCTGGTGGGCTCTTCCTCCTGTAGAAACAAGGTCGACTATATTGGAGGAGGTCCCAGGAACTGTTCATGGGCCTGGACCACTGGCAATCGTGGTGGGTGTCTGACACTTGTAAAGAACCCTCAAATCATTATTAAAGTAGGGAGGTCTGTCATGGTGTGTGATCGACTTCAGACCACTTACAAATAATACTGTGTAGGGTTACTGTCCATAGTCTCAACTACGGAAATTCAAAAGTCAAATTTTTGGGGGGGCGAGGGGAATTTGAAAAGTAACTATTGTGAACTAAGTTAAAGATTTAAGATCGAAAGTCATAGAGCTTCCCATTTGGCTCTGTAGAGGCTTCCAGTGTGTGGAATAGGTTTCTGCTTCCTCTTGAATATGTGTCTCTCTGTTGAGTTTCTCCCCATGATGACGTGTAGAAGCATTGCTGGGTGGCTGTGCATGGGAGTTGTGTTGTTCTGTTGAGTGTATGTCTCGGTACAAAGTATAGCTCTGTTTCTCTTGATTGCTGTGGAGAGGAAGGCTGGATGTAGGGAATTCAGCCAGGGAGAGGAAATATAACAACCAGTTGCAGAGAGGAGACTGGCCGTGTGTGTGACAGGTGATGGATAAACATCTAGAGCAGGGTAGTCATGCCGACCAGATTCTCTGGGTCCCGAGAGCTGGAACTCCTGGGCCAGCCTGATAACAATGCTAATGGCTGGCACTTAGGTGGCACTACTGTGAGCTTCTTGTACATACTCACTCATTGAAAGATCACAACTCCTCTTGGGTGGGGTGCTATGGTTGCTGCTGTCCTCTGACCTTTCCTAAGATCCCTCGGACAGGAGTGGCAGAGCTAGGATGCCAGCTTGCTCTGGAGTCCTTGTTCCTCAACGCTCCAATCTGCCGTTTGCTACCCATGATGAGAGATCGTGAGCAGTCCTAAGTTCACTGGTCAACGAGGGTGGGTTTGAACGTCTGAGGAAGGAGAGGGCAGACGCTGCTGTGGAGAGAATGTAGGGCATACAGCACAATCCCAAGCTAAGCAGGACTCCCCATTGGTACCTGGTCACTTCATGCTGCAGCAGACACAGTGTCCCACAGAGGGAAGCATTGGCAGGCAGGAACGAAGGGAATTTTGTTCCTTGATGGGTCCATGATGGGTTCATGCTAGGTGGATCCATGATGGGTACATGCCATGGGTCCATGATGGGTCCATGATGTGGTGGGTCCTTGATGTGTCCATGCCCTGATGGGTCCATGATAGGTCCATGCCATGATGGGTCCATGCCGTGATGTGTCCATGATGGATCCATGCCATGATGGATCCACAATGGGTCCATGCCATGACGGATCAATGATGGGTCCATGATGAGTCAATGATGGGTCCATGCCATGATGGGTCCATGATGAGTCCATGATAGGCCCATGCCATGATGGGTCCATGCCATGAAGGGTCCATGATGGATCCATGGTGAATCCATGATAGGTTCATGTCATAATGGGTCCATGCCAGGTGGATCCATGATGGGACCATGCCGTGATGGGTCCATGATGAGTCCATGATAAGTCCATGCCATGATGGGTCCATGCTATGATGAGTCCATGACGGGTCCATGCCGTGATGGATCAATGATGGGTCCATGATGAGTCCATGATAGGTCCATGCCATGATGGGTCCATGCCATGATGGCTCCATGAGGAGTCCATGATAGGTCCATGCCATGATGGGTCCATGCTGTGATGTGTCTATGATGGATCTATGCCATGATGGATCCATGAGGGGTCCATGATAGGTTCATGCCATGATAGGTCCATGATGGGTTCATGCGATGTTGGATCCATGATGGGTCCACGTGATGATGGGTCCATGATAAGTCCATGCCATGATGGGTCCATGCCATGACGGGTCCATGATGGATCCAAGATGAGTCCATAATAGGTCCACAACTTGTTTCCTGGGTAGAGCCGACTGCAATGATGAGTCCATAACTTGATTCCTGGGAAAAGCTGAGTGCCCATGGGGTGACCTGATTCAGGACCAGAGATTTAGGGTCTGGGAGCTGCAGTCACTTTTGTTGAAATCACTAGGCAGGGTTTGAGTTGGGAGGTCATGGATGACCCCATCCTTAGATTCATAAGTACTTCTGCACTTACATGTATGCTTGCTCACATATACACAACACTGGACCCCTCAGTGCTCTTGTTCCATAGAGCATGTTGTGCTTTACACACTCTGAGACCCAAATATGGGAAAGTTCTCACCTGTAGACAGACATGTGATGGTATTGGCAGAATATCATGAATTGCATTAATTCACTTGGGAGACTGTTCCTTCTGGATGCTTCTAGGTGACCGACAGCACCTTGGTTTAGCCTTGTGTCTGAACAGTGATGATCCTAGTGGAGAGAATAGATTGTTATTTTGTTTTTCTTCTAATCAAGAAAATTCTCTTGCAAGCGGCTGCTGTGAGAACACCAAAAACGTTGGAATTAGTGATGTAAGTGTAGGATTTGAAGTTGCCAACGGGGTTTAAAACCCTCCATTTCCTGTGACCCCAGGCAGGGCGTTCAGGTCCTGAAGCTCCTATTAAACGGTAGCATGTGTGAAAGAGCATTAGATACAACCCGGGGCCTCGTGGAGATGGGAGCCTGTGCGTTTTGGTCTCCCCGCTGACCAAGGTCCTTTGTGCATTTGCCAGTAGGTGAGCCCTACAGCAGAGTGGAAACGGGCAGGTGGCATCTGATGGCAGCCCCTGTGTAGACGGGGCTAGATGGGGGAAGGAGGTGAGGGCAGATGCCCAGCATCCTCCTTGGAAGCAGGGTAGTTTCATGAAGTTGGGGCTTCTGGAGTAATGGTCCAAACGCCTGCCATTTGGAGGAGCTTGTGATGGAGGCTCTGGGCATTAGGATCTTTCTCTACTTGGTCGATGTGGGTTGGCTGTGTTGAGAAGGGCTTGGCATTCGTGTGCAGGGTGAGCCTGGAAGGGTAGTGGCCTTTGCCTCTTGTGGGAGTCCAGAGGAGATGACAGCTGGAGGCAGGAGTTGGCCATTTGTAGAGGGGAGTCAAGCTCTGTTTTGTGTTATTTTTTCTGGCATTGAGAGTGGGCAGCATTTGAGGACGTAGCTTGAAGAAGCCTTGAGGAGTTTGCATGGGCTTATCTCTGGGACACTGGATGGCCACTCCAGGAGGGGATTATCCCACTTAGAAGTGGCACTAGGAAAGGAAGCTGGCCGAGCCAATGGAAGAGACTTGGCTTCATGCAGAGGCTTCGCTACACAGTGGAAAGACATGGAAATTCACCTGATGGGGGTTTCCTGCCCTCTCCTTTGTTAAATCATTAAATGAGTGATGTCAGGTTTCCTTGGCCAGCTCTTGGGTTGAGATTTAAAAAGGGGAACTCTGGTCTTAACAAGGGAGTTACTGGGGAAAGCAGGAGAACCCACCACTCCTGGGGAACCATCCGGTGGGAAAGCCCACTTCTTGTTTCAGGGTAAAAACACAGAAGAATTAAAATCATCGTGGAGCCTGCAGAAAAATTCTCCAAGTTAAGGTGAGGTCATCCATGGCAGTTCAGGGGAAAAGGGTACTTGTGAGAAAGACTTACTGCAGGAGACAGAAGAAGGTTTAGAGAAGATCCAAGATGGTTTCAATACAATTCAGGAAAATATGGACTCGATGATAAAAAAGTGAGATAAGACAACAGACTGAGCTGAAAATGATCTGGCTGTGTTGAACAGGAGCAGAATGAGATGAGGAAATGTTACGAGTCAATAAAAATTAAAATTATTAAGAAATTAAACCTTTTAGAGAAGTTTAAAATAATTAATTTAAATTAAATTAGTAGTTTGATGACTAAATAAAATCAGCCCTGCAGATTATAGAATCGTTGTTATGGAAAGTATGAGATGTTTTCCAGTATTAGAGAAGGGATTTATAGAGAAGGAAGCCCCAAAACAGAGATGTACCTGATAAAAAGCTCAAAGAAATGAAATCATCTCAATAAACAAAGAGGTACTTGAAGAAAATTTCCCGAGTTGAAGAAATACCAGAGAAAATGGATATCACCAAACACAAGTAGGCCAAATAAGAAAAACGAATCATGGATATATGTATACTGAAGAATTTTTAAAGTTGTCATGGTAAAGATTTCTTCTATGTGTCTCCAAGGTTAATAAAAGCAGGTTTCTCTGCAAAGATGACCTCAGACTTCTTCATTACAAAGGTTAGAAAATAATGGAGACGTGGAATTGTGGAACCACAGTTTTTGGACCCAAGACTTTTATACCCAGCCACATCAGTCATTCACTGGCAAAGCGATAGGAAGAGATTCTCACGCATAGCAGAGCTTAGGGTGTTTGGTACTGAGAAAATTGTCGGCTGTTGACTGAGCATTGAAGAAAATACAGAACTTAATGGGAAAGTTCTTTTTAGCAGGGTAAGGAGGAAAGTAAAAACCTGGAGTTGAGTAAATTATTGTTGTAAATTTATTTAAGAAACTATGCATATTTAGAAGAATTAATATTATCCAATATATTTAATAAAGGGTGGACAGAGAGACTGGATAATACATAGAGGAAAGAAAAAGTGGAGACTGTTATATGGTTTTCTGAGTGTAAGAATTCAGGCAGGAGACGCTAGATAATAAAGCATAGAATTCATGTTTGAGATATACTAGACATGATCTTTTATGCCCCAACGATCATTAGATAAAGCATATAAACAAAATCGATTAGATATGCATGGAATTGGAGAGACTGGTGGTGAGAGAGTCTTTCTATATAGCCCACCTGGTCTTTAACTCACAAAGAAAGCAAACACATAAATAAATTTATCTAATGAATAATGTATGAGGTGTCTCTAAAATGTTATGCATTATGTAAACAAAAATCTTTTCTCTCGTCAACCATGGACCACTTAGAAAAATTGATTTTGTACTAATGGTACAAGGAGGTATTCAATATGTTACTTGGAGTAGGAATTGATTAT